TATATCATTTATCACCTTCATAGTAGCAGTAATAGTGCTGCTGTGTTTTTTTCTGAAAGCTGATTGATATTTAGAAAGGATTTCATTTGAATGGAGGAAGTCTTTCAATTGATCACAAACAAGAGACTCCAGAATTTTAGATAAAACATAAATTTGAAATTGACCTATAATTGGTAAAAACTGTTGGATCACCTCATTTTAAAGGAAGGACAAAAGCAGATTTCTAAATTGATGGGATGTCCTTGTTTTCAATTGAAAGATTAAAAAGAACGGACAGTGGCTCTGCTATGAAATCAGCTGCCAGTTTTAGGAAGTAAGGCTCAATTAAGTCAGGTCCAGGTGGCTTTCTTTGCTCTAATGTTAAAAAATCATCAGGGGTAAAAAAATCATTACCCTTTCTAAACAGCCAGCCCACCCAAGAAAACATAAAGAAGGAAAAAACGTCCTGTTTTAAGTTTTAATTTTGTTTTTTTTTGTTTTTTCATTGTTTTGTTTTTTCATACCAAGCCAAGCAGCACCCCAGGATTGAATAAAGGTTTCATTGATCATCTTTTTTCTGATTAGTGACCGACAGTCATTCTAAACAGGAAGGATTTTTTCATTTTTGTAAACTACCTCTTTTATAATCATTGCAGGAAGCTTTTGAGCAAAAATACCGTCACTTCTGCTAAGACCCCCATGGTGCGACAGATCTCCATATCTCCACCTCGACCATCAACCCCACCTCCAGATTTCAACCAGTGTGTGACTGGCTCCTCTCACTTCCTACCGCTCCCCTTCCCCAACAACAGACTGGCCTCCCAACAGAACTCGGAGAACATGGTGACGGAGAAGAACAAGATGGCTGCTGCAGTAGAGGAGGCGAACTTTCTCAAAATGAACTGCTACTCGACCAAATGGGAGCCCTGTAGAGATGAGCAGATTCAAGATGGAGTGTACCTCAGCTCTGACACTAACTGCTACAGTCCTGAGAGCAGAGACATGATGTGCCTTCAGATCCAAAATGGTGGCCCGGATGGGCTACTACTGAAGGACAAGCGGAGATTCAGCAGAACCAGCGGAACAAGCAGCCGGACAAGAGCGGACGATCTCTCTGTTTAGAAACCAAAGCACAGACTGACTTCAGCGAGCCTAGAACCTTCCAGTGTTCTTTAAACTACTTTAATTTCTATTCTTTTCATTTGTTTCTTTGGTGTTAATTATTGGGGTTTGATGTGACATTGGGCCCTTAAACTGCTGCATGCTTGAGAAGAGGAGGAAGATGAAATGCTTTTTACATTATCTTTACATGAGTGTATATTTCTACCAGTCTATTGACGTATGCTTCTAAAGCCCCTGTCACACCTTGACGACTTATCCAGCGTACGTCTCACATCCTAGAATCTCCTAAAACGCTGGCATACTCTGAACTTTCTATGTATTTTTCAATTTTGGGCATATACATGGAGTACTCATAAAGAGTCCAGAACTTCTGTCCAACGACAGCCTAACTTATGCATAACGCACAACAGCGTAATGCCCATGAAATGATGCAAAGGCCAGCTTCCTGAGGGGGGAAGCAATACGCCCAGAGGCACCTGCATAAAAAGATTATCCTAGCTGCTGCTTACAGCCCACCATAAAAAAGTTTTAAAAAAAAGATTGAGCGTCATGTCTGCTAGAAAGTGTGTTGGTGGTGGGCGTGAACGCAGAGAGGATCCATCACACTCACCTTCTGGCTCACCCTATGATGGGGATGAAGTCTGGAGGAGAACTGACGGTTTCCTCCTGTGAACCCCCTTTATACCAAAACGCTGCCAATACGCCATTATACAGTAGCTGGAAGGTAGAAACATGTTCAACGCTCGTCTGGAACACGTCAGATATGTTGATATGCGTTGGAGAGAAGTACTTGAGAAGTTACGCACAAGTTTCGCACAAGTTACTCATAGGTTTGGGATAAGCTAGACGCCACGACTTATGAGTACCTTACACTTAACATATGTCAACAATCAGATAACTGACCTGTAACTTATGCCCACGTATGGCACACGCTGGCAAAGGTCGAGAAATTTTCAGTATGCTCAAAATATCTCTGCATTCTCGCCGTATGTTGATGTGTGCCAGCGTGCATCAGCGTGTTTCATCCTACTTGAGTGTACTTCAGCGTGCTCATAACTTATCCAACGTATGCCAACGTTTTTGCCAGATTTTTAGTACGTCAGATATATGCTGTCTAAATTGTAATAGGTGTGACAGGGGCAGATCTAGAGTCTTCACGTATTTGCCCATCCTTCCTTTTAAAACATCTCCCACTCATATCGAATGGTTTTTGATCACAAATTTCCAATCTTGCTAGTTTCCTATTTGGATTAGGGAAATTAAGGACAATTGTATTTTTTAGGAGCTTTTGCCCTGCACACTTTATGTTTCTATGCTTAAAAAATGCTAAATTAAAATGTGGTCATTTAAAAGTTCCTGTAGAATCTGGTGAATCAGGGATTTGTTTTAGGTATGTTAGATCAGAGATAAAGACCAAACTCCAGTTCTCGAGGGCAAATGTCTGGCAAATGAATCACTCTCTCCTTAAACACACCTGATTTCAATATAAGTTCATAAGTAGAGCTCTGCATAACTTGCCATACCTCAAATCAGTAAGAACATTTAAGCTACAGGGAAGGTGTGTCAGTGGTTGCCATGACAGTGCTGGTAGTAAGGCCAGAGCTAGGATGAGCAACCAGAATGCTTCCTAGTACCAACTGTTTGGCACAGGAAACTTCTGACATTCTCAGCCACTGCAAAGACGTGTATGGTTGCCAAAAATCCTTTGCATGATAGGGTTGCCAACAATGCAGCAATCACCATGATGAGTGTTATTAGAATAGTGCTAGTAATAAGGAAGTAGGATGAGGAAGCAGTTTGCTTCTTAACCGCAATTGATTTAGCACAGGAACCTCCTGACATCCCGAGCCCCTGCCAGGAGCTATACTCTACAATCCTTTGTGGGACAGGACATATATATATATTAGGGATGGAACGGTTTATGAAAACCGTTCGAACCGTTCGGTTCGGTTCGCGTGTGTTTCGTTCGGTTCATGCGCTGCTCCTTTTTCT